TATATATAACTTAAACAGTGGGTAAGGTTTCGTTCATAAGAAAACATTAATTAATGTAATGTATGGTAAAAGTAAACATGATAGGACTTACCGACTTATGTATTGATTTTTTCAATTGACTTAATTAAAGCCATGTATGAACGATGGATCGTAGATTCATAGGTTTTCATCAATTAAAATTGAACTAAAAAAACACATGTGATCAATTCTTATCTTAGTAGGTTGCGGCTTTTGAAGATGAAGGTTGTATTAAAAAAGAGCAACGTGATTATGAAAGATTATGTATTGAACTATTGATTACGTCGACCATGGTGATAACAACAGATACGAACTTGACCTCCTGTGTGTAACATTCAATCTAAATTGTAGCAGACTATATTTTCTGCAACTTGTGAAGCCCGCACTCCATATTTTAGCCCAAAAAATTTTATTCACCGGTTTAAACGGTATTTATCCAGTTCATTACAACCGGTTCACACTGGCATACAATCTAACATAAAACTGCTCCTAATTAAACCAGACACTACACTGGTCCTGGTTCCCGGTTCGACCGGTTCAACCGGCCGGTTCAAAACGGTTTTTAAAATCTTGCTCATAATTAATCTTCGTGAATATTTGAGTCGTATTTTCTTGTAATCTTTTCTTAATCAATCAAAGAAGGAAACATTATATTTAGATGAGAACGATCATTACAATTTCATATTTAATTCACTAATTATATTCTTGACTCTTCGCTATTCTTAATTTCTTCTAGAAATCTCATCTCCAAAAGGGATTGCTCTAAATGTTTACAATATACACATACTTACAATTCTGGTTTATTTAATATGATGCATTTGTGGTTAGTTGGCTTTTTTTTAAAGGGCAAATAATTAAATATCTCTTCCGATTTGGGATTTAACTCACGACCTCATACTTAGTTGTTAGAGTGGAAACCTTCGTATTAGCCAAATTGTTAGTTTAGGAACCTCCATGTTAACCGAATGGTCTAACCCAATATGTGTGGTTAGTTGGGTTAGTAGCACATATATAGAATACTTGTTATAGAAGTTATAAACAAAAGTAGTTGGAACAACAAGCAAAACAATAAAGTATTTTGGATCAATATAATTGGAATAACCCATGAAAACCACCACTGCTTTCAATAAAAATGGAGTAAAATATTTGGAATCAACAACTAAACCAAAAGCAAAAAGTTAAGCGGCAGCAGTTGGACAACCTACAAACCTCAACTAAATGTCGACCACATTAATTCAATTCAACACTTGGCGTAATTTACGCATAAATTTTGGAAGTTACAGCATAGAACATTGCTAATGTCCACAGTAATATTATAATAATATATGTTCATTCTACACAATAACACAATAGTTGATTGTATCTTTAGCACCCTCGAAGAAATTCAGCCAAACGTTTGAACATGTCCTTTGCATTCTGGGTTTCAGGATTAAAGATATGGAAGCTATGACCTTCTCCTTCGACCTCAAAAATTGATAATTCCCCTTCCCATCCACTTTCCTTCACCGCTTCATAGTAATACACCCCTCTATCTCTTAGCTCGTCCTTAGAAGCGACACAAATGATCAACCTCCTACATCCAAGTGATGCTAAAGAAGGAGCAGTTTTGACAAACGGGTTGATACATGGATTATCAATCCCATCCGGACAACCAGGGTAAACGAACATCCATGTCTTGTACAAAATTGACATTTCGCGATTAGTAACCGGCTCTGCGCCAACTGGTTTGGAACCCAAAAAGTATGGGTGTGATAGAAACGCTCCAAGAATCTTAACACCACCATGTAACTTTTCTTCGCTGGCTCGCAAGGCGATATGGTGTGAAATATTTGCACCTGCACTATCTCCACCAATATAGAGACGCTTGAAATCTCCGTATTGAATTATCCATGGTTCATTTTTCTCGTTGTGTGTTTTGGAGGAATGAGAGGCAACCCACTGTAGAGCATTCCAGGAATCATCGTAAGCTGCCGGGAGAAGGTGTTCTGGAGCTAACCTGTAGTCGACTGAGACTACCAGAGCGTTGGCTTGAGATGCTATGGTGTTTATATACTGGTGACAGAGGGTGGAGAAAGCTGACTCGATACAAAACCCTCCACCATGGAAATAGACCAGGATGGGAAGCTTCTTGTTCGTCGTTTGATCGAGTGTGGAAAGATCGGGTAGGTAGAGTCTGGCACTGACCTCTGGCGAAATGATGATATCTTTAGACCAGACGCCACTCTTGGTCTCGGCCGTGGATGGTGGAGCTAATAGTGGATTATAAAGTCGCTCCACCGTGCCGTCTTTATGGACACGGAGGAAGGGTAGAAGTTCAGATGCAACCACCTCTTCTTGCTTTGAGACCATGACGAAAGATAACAAATGGGAGAGAAAGGAAGGTAGAGGGAGAGAATGATGAGATATCTTAGAAGACACGCTATATATTAATTATCGCGATCAAATGGGCAATAAACAATATTATTTGTTGTCTATTTCTAATTTTCTATATATTACAGATGAGATAAGATTCAAAAAATAAAAAATAAATAAATAAATAAAGAACTACATTTCTTCTCTATCTACTCTAATAAATGAATGTTTTTTGTCATATCTCATCTTCTCCTTCATTTGGACACATGTCATTTTCTAAAATTTTTAAATTTTCGATTTTCCACTTGTCATTTTATTGTATTTTTTATTTTATTAAATTAAAATTTCACATTTAATATGTAAAGTAATATATATGTAAGGTATTTATTAGAAAGGTTTATATATGTAATGTATTCAATACATTAAAGTCTCATTAATTTTAATAATTCAAAAATTTTCTCATTTTTCTTATAAATTCAAACTTTTCAAATTGTTAAAATTTTATATTTAATTTTTTTTAAATAAACTCACGTAATACATGAGTCTCACACCTAGTATTTAGATAATCGATACTTTATTTATTTCGTGCCAAGCATTCGGTTTACTTAAGTAGTTAACTTATTTGTTCTGGATTGAGCTCTACTTTTAATCTCAATACGCTAAGATAAAAAAGTTAAACTAAAACGAACTGTAAGATTACGTTATCCGCTACTCGTTTTGTTCCATGTGGCTGTTCCGAATGGTCCCGTCATTCATCACCAGAGAATAGAGGAGGAGGAGCTCTTTGACTACATTGTTGCCAAACTTTTTTTTGGTCTCATTTTGGATCGAATGAATGGTTACACAATCTTTTGTTTGCTAGAAAGGGTGGTGTTAATTCTATTTGTTTTTTATTGGAAAATGATATGTTGGCTTTAATTTATATTTTTGGTAGTCTAGTGCGTAAACTTGAGTTTTACTGTTTTAATTGGTCACATGACATAGCATAGGCAATTTCATTGCCATGTGGGTGTGTTTCATCTGACATGGCAAAGGTAAACTGGGACATGACATTCACACCTTAGGCCGTCGTCCGGTATACTCTCCATTAACCGATCTGTGGTTGAGGTGACAACGAACAACGACCGTGCACACCAGCCCGGCTGTAAGTCCTCAATCTGCTTGTGTATCAATCAGATTCGTTTGATGGTGCGGAATCCCAATCAAACGGATGATGCCAGATCAAAAGAAGAAGAAGGAGAATAAGAAGAATAAGTTGAATCTATGATGTATTCAATGAGTAGAATGAAGCTCCATACACATAGTTCACACACACTTGCACATTCTCTCCTTTCTCTCACACTTTAGAATACACACACTTAAGCTCCTCTCAACCATACACCCACATGCACTCCTCACCATATATATATATATATATATAT